TTCAAACATTTAATTTCGAGTATTTCATTTCAAACATTTAATCTCCGATATGTCATTTTGTAGTTCACTTCAAATATATCATTTCCAATGTTTCGTTTCAAATATTCACAGTTTTGAGCTGTTCCAGAGCAAAATATATAAACCAAAGATCCGTGGTCTGGTTCGGAACCTTTCCTTTTTCCCAGACTTCACATCCTGTGTCCTGATTTTCATTTGTGCCAGTCCGATCGCTCTATGTGTAATGGACGCAGCGCAGCGAGAGAAAAAAAGGAGAGACCGCGTCGAAAGGCAGTGCGCGCACAGTGGCGCGATTATTTGTGCAGTTTGCGGCGCGCGCTGCTTTAGATCAGTGTTCTCGTTTGAGAACGTGCGGGCTCCGAGTTTGGACGCGACTGTTTACGCCGCGGAGACCAGATGTTTGGACGGTGGACCGGTCCGAATGCGGCACTCGGTTCGTGAAACCAATTAATATCGCGCTATGCGTTTCTTTTGGGAGGCGTGTGAACGTGGTTACTGTTCGCTGCGCTGTCACCGACGGGGGGACCGTTCCTGATGCGCGACACCGTGAAGGGATGCGCGTAGAATTTTAATTATTTACGTCGTGTCGTGACAGGGGACCGAAAGTTAACGTTTATTAGATCCACGGAACTAGTTGAGCACGATGGATTCGGCGGAAACTGTAAATGCCATTCGTTGCTAACTGAATTATTTCTAATATCGTTCTATACAGTGTTCGGTACCTTTTATTACCACGGAAAGTTCGGAAGTACTGGGAAAAAGGGTGTTTAATTAAAAATTGTTTAATATCCTCGAGCCACTTTCGTTACAAAAAGCTTTATTACTTTTCCTTCGAGTTTCCTCTGTTAACATGTAATTGAAATATAGTGAACTGAATTAGAAAAATATCGCTATGCAATGTCCAAAATGTTTTAACCCTTACCACTGCAGATGGTTTTGTAACGTATTAGCAACTGTAACTAATTTTTATAGTATCCCTAGCGAAAATGGAAAATGCTGTAACATTTTTTATATCTTTTATTTTCTTTAGTACAAAATTCGGATGTGTGAAAAATCTAATAAGTATAGGGTAGTTTCTTTAAGATTCATTCAAATATCTAATATTATTCCTGGTGCAATATTGGAGCCTACAGAGTTCAAAGGGTTAATTAGTTCTATTAGGTTTGCGACGAACAAGTAACTATCGCAATCTTTAGATTCTTAAGAATCTTAAATCTTAAGATTCATTCAAATATCTAATATTATTCCTGCAATATTGGAGCCTCACAGAGTTCAAAGGGTTAAATAGTTCTATTAGGTTTGCGACGAACAACTACCGCAATCTTCGGGAGTCATCTTACTGAGCAGTAATAATAGTAATAATAGCAGTAGTGATAGTAACTCTCTGGTTACTATCAAAATCGTTAAAAAAGCTTCTTCAATATAGAACCCAGTAATACCCAATTAACAAACTTCCGAAATGCTCCTCTGAAAGAGATTCCCATAAACATCCATAATTCCGTTGGTCGACGCGCGACAATTGAATCGAGAGGATCCCCGCCATATTTCAGCTGTCGCGCGATCGAATTAATGCAGTTCCCGGCGATGATTCCGAAGAGCGAGGCAATTCGGCCGCGGCGCGCGATTCGGAACGAGAAGTCGGGTTTCTGGTCAGCTCGAGGTTCGATTTAATTAAACCAGGCGCGGCCGTGGCGGAACGCGGGCGTCGCGAACGATTTAATTCGATTGTATCTTTTAATTGCGCCGCGCGACACAAAGACGAACTCGGATCGGCCGCTCTGGCTCCACGGCGAGAGGGGCGCGCGGGGGCGGGCGAAGGGAAAAAATCGTCCCCCGTGTTCCCTGTGACACAGATTTAACGGAAGTACTTATGCAGCCCGGCACATTTGGAATTGCTGAAGCTGCCACGGGGACACGTCCGTGAGCGGACTTTTATGGCAGCACGTGCGTGTCATAAAGCGAGTGTTTCCACGAAAAAACATGGAAACGAAGACAGACAAGCGGTCTTATTTCGAAAATAAATCCCTCCCTCGGGCTAGCCGCTCGCGGACGTTTCGCAATCCTTTCCGCCGGCTCGACGTGCGCGCGGATTTCTCGCATGATTTCACTTCGGCGAGCTTGAGGAAGACGTAACATAATCACGCATACCGGAGGAACTACGGGTAGACTCGAACTTCGACCGACTTGACTTTAGCTTGGCATAATAGCGGCCCGGATTGTTCTTGCGTAATCATAATTACTTGGAACGCGACCTCTGCGCGGAATTCGAAAATGAAATGGGATTGCGAACGGTTTTATGGTGTAATGAAGGGATAACTTGATGTGACGAGTATTATATTGTTATGCGAAGAAGGTAGTTTAGCGTGGATGTAATGAATGTGTTATTGTGTAATAGTATAGTGATACACGTGGTTTAATTTAGATGTAATGATGTATTGTGTTATATCGTGTGAGTGTAGTTTAATGTAGATAGAATAGATATATTATTCTGTAATATAATGTATGAAATCTTCGAGATTCCCAAGTGCTCCAATAAACGTAGATGAATTCGAAGCGGAACAAGAATCGCTCGATTATTCTAGACCCCGTCCGAACGAATAAATCTAACGATTTTCTCGAAGGCGCTGATCCAGACGAGGGAAGAATCGTTTCAGAAGGAAGCAACGGTAACGCGGTGTTTAAGTTTCGAACAATGGAAAGGTAAAACGAACGACGTCGTCGTTAGGCGGGACAATTTCTCAAGGAACAAAGCGCCGGCGTGCACCGCGGGCTGCTTTTTAAGCAAAAATTCAATTTCACGGTCGGCCGCGTGACTAAATCGTCAAAATCGTAACAAAGCGGCGGCGTTACAACGCCGCGGATCCAACGACGGAGCGGCCGGGGAACGGGCTTGACGTTTCTGTAATGGAACATGGCGGCCGGAATTTAATTACACTTTACAAATCCTTCGCCCGGTTGTCGCGGACAATTACTAGGCAATTGTTAATACGATTTGCAATTTGCGTGGCGAGGGACGACGATTCGAATTTCTTTCGCGCCTACGCTCCGTCCGCCATTTTGTTTCTTCGAGAACGCTCCCGCTGATCGGCGAACGAAGAAAAATATAGAGAATACGATGTGTTACCGGGGTCTATTTATAAAAACGAGTCAACGCGGCGGCCATTGTTTTCCGCGGCTCGAAAATGGATATCCACCGGCTGATCGAGCCTTCCAATTCGACGATCAACCGATCCAGGCCGCCAGTTTTCGAATCGCCGCGCGCCTCGTTAACGCGTCCAATCGAATTCGTGCGGGTCGGGCACGATGTTGATTAAAATTTTCTACATTAATTATCGACCGGTAGATTGGAACGCGGGAACCACTTAATCGACTGCGAATGGAATTTCGATGATTGCGACCCGGATTAAGCGATTTCCAGCGATCGAAGCAGCGCGAAAATGCGTGGGAACTTCCTGCGCACCGGTGCGCGATACGGTCTCGACTTTCGAATAACTTGGCTGGGAATTCGCGAATTCGAAACGACGGAAACGACGAATATTTGGTAACGCGCTGTTCCTGGGAGTAGATTTATTTCAAGTAGAAACAGACGGTGCCGATCGGACAGAATATCCATCGCAATTTTTTAAATTGAGTTCCGTGAAGGTCTCTTAGTTTGAAAGACAATTTTCCACGGACGGAACTTCCTCGGAAAGAAGTTTGTTCTACAATGGTCGTTTCCTTTTCCACGAGGAGCATCTAAATTACTTGAAAACAATCAGAATAAGAAAACCGATGCTGAATGGAAACTTTTAGTAACCTGAGTAATTAGGTAATAGCCTGTAATAATTGTTTCTAATATTGAGAATGAGTGTTTAACATACAAGACGCTGAAAATTCTTGTGAGAGACGTTAAGCAACGAATTCCGCCCACTATCGTGAACTATCGATCACCCGGCCCAAATCGATCCCGAAGTCGCTCGCCCTCGGCATTGTTATTGTTACGTAAAGCGACTTCTGTTCAGAAAAACGCTTTTGTCGTTCTAAAATTGACGCGCAGAGGTGAAAGAAATTCTTGCGGTCGGACAGCTGGCGACGCCGCGGCGGCAGCGGCCGCCAGCCAAAGATTTGTGGCGAAAGTTCCGGAAAATTGAGGGACCGCGGCGAGCTTGATGAGCGTATCGTGATTTATGCGGTTCATTTCTCAGGTGGGATCGTCGAGGTTCATATCGAGGAACAAATGCGGCCGAACTTTTCGTGGTTTCCGCGCCAAAGAACCGTCTCGGCTTCACCGCGTTCTATCCTTTCGCCGATGGCAGAGGGTGCCCCTTACACCGTCGGATTTGTTCGCGTCCCGCTGGCAATTTCAATTCGCGGCACTCAAACAATGATTTATATTACGCCGCGACGAATGGGGAAATTCTCCGTTGCACGCTCGTGAACGTGCGACGGCTATCGAGAATTCTTCGTTAAAGAGGAAAGTAGTTTAATCGGGAAACTCGTCCAAAAATATGAGATTACGAAGTAATTCATACTTGAAAAGATAAAAGTAACTACCAAGTTTAATCATGATTATATACTTAAATATTCTCCAGTCGAAAATCATTCTAAATGTCGAAATTTCTAAGATTCCCAATAACATTAATTACACCACGATACGTATCCCAATGTTCGATCGCTTCCTCTCCAAGAATACCCGAACCACGAAGCACGCGTCCCTCCCGCGCAAAGCATCGCGAGGAACACATTAAAATTCCTCGGAGGCGGTTACACCAATCGACCATCAATTCTAAAGTTACCGCAGCGTCCAGTATTATTGGCGCACGGTCACCGTGGGCCGCGTCAAACAATTTTTCCCCGTCGGTTCGATGACCGTCGACTATTGCTGGCGAGCGGTCCGCGGGAAATTCCGCTGGAAATTCGAGGCCCGTATCACCGGGCGTAACGCGTCGATTGTCGATAGGAAAGAAGCGAAAGCGTGTGCGCGGCGATCGAATAATACGAACCGGAGAAAATCGTGGCAGGCAGGGAGGCGCAGATGCCCAAATACACCAGCAGCAGCACAGTCCAACCGTGACGCGGCTCCTGGCAGTGGTCCAGCATTTTCTCGCACGGTAGGCCAACGATTCTTGGCCCGTTCATCGTGCCTCATAGTTTTCGACCCGGGGATACGTAAACGCGGGCGTAACACGCGCCCGGATCGAGAGAAAGGGGAACGGCGGCGGCTAGAAGGGAGGATGAACTTTAATAACGCCTCCGCTCGCGTGGCTTCTTCCTTCCTGTCTTCCTTTCTTCCTTCCTTCCTTCCTTCCTTCCTTCCTTTCTTCCTTCCGTTCACCTTCGCACGACTCACGGGAACACTGTACTCGCGGATCAAGCGCGAACAAACGAGATTCCACTCACGAACACTGAAATTCCGTCGCGCGAGCACTCGAACGCTCTCGGTTCACCGGCGCCCGACGCGACACAGTTCCACCGGCTCCGGCTTCTACCGGCGAGGATCCTCCCGAGCAGAGTTTATTTATCGCGGGCAAGTAGTTTGTTCCCGTGGAACGATAGGAGATAAGCGGGAAAAGTCTCCGGATAAGAGCCGAGGCGGCGGGTCCGATACACGCGTCACGGTTTTTAGATTCCGTCCGGGAGAGAAGGAGCGCGCCGATAAGAGGCTCATTTACCTAAGGACGCTCCGACGGATAGAACGGCCCCCGGAATTCCTCCGGCTCCCCTCGGATCCTCTTCCAGCTGAATCGCGTGCTCGCTGCACGGTGTAATAGTTTTTAACTGCATTCTTTTATCTCGCCGTGGACGCGAGTCGCGTTACGCCCGCGGTAACTGCGCTGCATCGCGATATCTCGGCCCGATAGGGCTTCCCCTCGGCGCTGGCATCCTTTGAGACGTCCTGAAAAATTGGGATCGTTGGGCTCGATGGTTCCGGGGCGGTTTCTATGGCGAGGCACCAGCGGCGGGACGGTTTAACATTTTTGTCGGAGGGAAGGGGGCGGTCTCTTTGTGATTGAAATTAGAGGGGGGCGCAGGGAAAGGATCAAAGCGCGAATTAGATTTTTAGGGATGTTCTTGTCTCGTAGAAGCGCGAAATTCAGGTTGCGAGGGAACAGGCGATGCGAGAATGTTAATTTTGCCATCGTACTTTCTGAACTTGTAAAATATATATTTGTAGAGTTGCGTTTTCGGAGGTTCGTGTTTAAAGCGAGCCTCGCGTTAATTGAACGGAGCACTGTGCTTCGTTGGGACTGTTTTTCTATAGAGTCTTCGGTACATTCGAGACGTTCATTTCCATAGAGCGATGACGAGGGTTCCCCGAGTTTCTTGTTTGAATTTCATTCGCGACAAATATCAGGAGTTAATTAAATCTAAACGCGTGTTCCTCAAATTAAATAGCCGGAAGCAGCAGAATAAACTTGCCGGATGTTTTCCGAGCGATATTGTTAATGCGATTCGGTAGGTCGGATTGAAACAGCGGCCAGGAAACTTTGCTTGAGACCCGGGAAGAATAATGGCACGAAAATGGAGCAGACTTGTAGCCGCGGTGATAAAATTCGATGATAGAAGTAAAGAACAGCCCTCGGTAAGAAAATACTGTCCCGAATGATATATCTATCTTATTTCCTCCCAGCCGAGCATGCTCTCCGCGTGATAATCAGGTTCAGAAGTGCCATTTCTCTCCCGCGTTCCATGCTAAACACGCTCGGCGTGTAATTTCACATTTCCAGGCAAAGAAACGCTCGTCCCTGCAGCTTTGCTCGGCAAATAATCGTAATTGTTTCATAATTCCCGGCGAGGACAAGCCGAAGACAAGTTGCCCCGAGTTCGAGAGCGTCGTTGTTCAAACTCGAACGACGAAATCAGCCGGCGATCCGAAGAATTAATTAGCCAGACGATGTAATCAGGCTCCTGGGCCCGTTTTAACCCGAATCCGAGCGCGTCGGACGGCCAGTGTCGTGTTTCACTCGTCGCTAAGACAAAACGGACGCACCAGAACTAATCTTAGGAGGTACACCGATTAATCTACGAGTATTTCGAACTCCGCTGCTACAACTACTGACGCCTAAATTTAATTCCTCACAATTTTTCGGCTACTGTTTCTCCTCGATCCCTTCTCGTCAAGAGAACCGTCCCTTCCGCGAGTAGCGCGATCGTCGCGAACCAGCGGACCAAATTCAATTACAAGTATCAAAAACGACGCGGCGAAACTTGTTCGAAACAAACGGAACGGGGAGGGGAATAGTTTTTCGCAGCGTGCGGTTCGAGTGCGCGAGAAATTGGAGCGAACGAGCCAGTAAATGGACAAACTGTCCCCGAAACGATTCCCGAATAACTGTTTTCGGTGCAATTTACCCTCCCCCGGCCGGAAATGGCTCGCGTGCGTGCGTGCGCGGACTTTGACGCGTTCGATCATCCCGGCCAAGCTGCGACACGTAATGCGGCCGGTTACGGGAAGAACCGGCTCGTGATTTGTCGCAGTATTTTCGAAAAAAGGGCATTTTTACCGTCGAGCCGCGGAGAATTGTCGGGGGTTGAAGATTTAATGTTTCGCGATGGGTTTTCGGGAAAAACGGGAGGGGACAGGTCCAGGGGGGACCGTTGTTGTCACCGTGCGCACAATTTTTCGTGCAATTTTCTATAAATAGAGACGCTTCGGCCGGCGCGCCGCCGGAAACCGTGCGCGACCGATCGTTCCGACTGAATAAATGAACAACGCCGGACGGGTTAACGTCGGAACGGGGCCGAGCTAAACTCGCGTGGAAATTCGATTTACTATCGGGCCGCGCGACGCGTTTTC